ACCTACCGACATACATACATACATACGTACGTACGCACGTACATACATACATACATACATACATGCATGCATGCATGCATACATGCATACATGCATATATGCCTATGTTGACAGACCTACATAAACAGACAGGCAGACAGGCGGGCAAACGGAAAGACAACACTGAGGAGATGCACGGAGTACATACACAGGAACTTAGACATTGCATCACACATCTTACTGAGGCTCCAACATAATCAAGGCAAAACCAGCACATGACATGGTGCAGGTAGTTGCTAAATCCAGTCTTGGGGCCTCAAAATGAAAGTCCTTAACTCCAAACTGACAGAGTCCTCTGGAAGATGCCAGTCTCACGGTAGTAGTCCATGACGTTGTACGGCGGCTTCATCAAGGCTTGCCTTTCGATTCAAGTCTCAGCACTCACGCTCTGACATGCCTGGGCGAGGTGGTACGTGGCGATAGGCGATACAGTAAGGCATTGGATCGAAAGTTTACGCATTCGACTTACCCAACGGGGTAAGGCCGGGTGCCCACCACATACTTCCAACCCCACACAGAAGAGGAAAGCAGGGTCTGATGGTTCAAGGAAGGGACCCTGCCGCGTTTCCGCATTAGGAACGTAGATACGTCTCCATTTGCTCTGACAGTTGGGCTGAACTGCCGGCACCAGCCGGACATGTTCGTCCAAGGCATGTGGCGTCATTCGCGACACTGCCAACTTATCTCTCGCGCTCCGAGTTACGAGAATAAAGGGCTATAGCGATGATCATGGCTTACGTCTTGCGTCGTCAGGGTGGGTTTGTGTGGATCACAACGATCGGCACCGAATTTGCTTCCACTCGCACCAGGAAGTACGCGCTGCTGCAGCTTAGGCTAAACAGCTATATACCCGCTTCAACATGAGCAGTCATGCCACAGAAGTGATCTGAAACAGGGGCTTCGCAACACCCGGAGATCCTGTTCAGGGGTGTGGCTCCTGCTGCCAAGGGCGTTTCGATCGAACATGCCCGAAACGGCCTGGCTTTTTTCTTCAGAGCATCTGCATCGGTGAAGCCTGCGAAGCAAAGACTCCCGTTGCAACTGCAAAGCTGGATAAAAGTTATGCTGTTGACTTCTGTCGCTTCGGAAGGAGAGATGGCAGCTTGGGATTTGCACTCCGGTAAGTGATTGATCTGAAGCTGGTTTTGTATCGTGGGACTCGTGGTGATGCTTCTGAAGGATGCAGTGTACGTATGCTTCGCCACCGGGCGCGCGCGTGTGGTGTGCGCACGTGCTGTGCTCTTTCCACTTCGCCTCGGGTCCTGGAGGCCGTGATGTCCTTCTGCATCTTGTTGGCTTTCGCCTTACAGCAGGGGAATCTGTCCAAATCCAACGGCAGCAAACTGAGACCGGCGAGGGGGCACCTGGCATATCTGCCCAGTCACTGTTTTGCTCGGCCTGAGAACAACCTTCTTCTTGACGTCCATCCTTATTGTAGCCCAAGGCGAGGCTCGAGACAAAGGTTTCGCATGACTGCTGAGGTTCTGGCATCTTTGGGTCCTCAAAATCAAGTTGCAACTCTCAAGCAATTGGTACTTCAATGTACTTGGTGGCCAAGGCAGGCAAGACGCAGTTTGTACCCCGACTATCTGCGTCTCCACCGTATCGGTCTGCGAAAAAAACTCCTCGGAGCCAGTGGCCACTGATCAAAAAAAGCTTATCCCTGTACTGCGTCAACTCAGCATCTGCCAGTCTCTCCGAGATTCTCGCACCCGTACACGCTTCTTCTCCGGCTTTTCTGGTGCGCCTTTGCCACCTTTCCTTGGCACGGCATGCACGGATCGCTGTTCGCACTTCAAAAATCACGCATTCAGTTCGCATGAGGGCGAGCTTCAGTCCAAGCATTTCTGGGCTCATGGAATGCATGGTTGAATCCATCGCAATAGCCACGGCTGGGAACGATGTCGCCCAGTCTTCGCCATTTCCCTGCCAGGCAGCTGCCGATTTTCATGCTCCCACCTCCCTGCTGGCAACGGACCTGCACCGTCTTCACGAAGTCTAGGTTCATAGCCTGTTGGATCTTCCCAATCCTGACTGAAGGGTATACTGGAAAGTAGGTTGTTTTAGGTCGTGCTTGCTTCCAACAGATCCTAGCAAGTCAACGAGACTCCAGTCTGCCCGGAGTGCTACAAACCCTGAAGTGCACCGTCAGGCTTGCCGACAGTATGGCACTTATTCCATTCTGCTGCAGCACGCTATCTCGTTCTTGTGCGAACCGCGGCCCTGTGACTCACCCAGCATCGTGTTCGTGTCCGCGGCTTGCGCCTTGGTCTACCACTCCAATTGGCTCTGCGTCTCCGCGTCACGGACAACAAAGAATCTAAACCGCACCAGATCTGTCTTCTCCTTTGCCTCCGTGAGCTTCTGGACCTGCTCGAGAAGCGCCTGGCTCTTCCGGGCATCCGCGCAAAAGTTGTAGCCCCCTAGCCCTAGCCGCTCCATATGGAACAGGTCGCCACCCTTGCCCCTCGTGACCGGATTACGTCTGAAGAGGCAGGATGTGCAACGAAGACCGCTTCCATGGTTCGGCCTTGTCGTCGATTGGCAGAGGCTTGCGCAAGCGGTCTGCTACGAAGCCCAGTTCCGAAGCAAACCTTACTATGGCGCACCGATGCCAATATCGTGAACTCCGGCACACTTCCATGTCAAATCTTCCAAGGAGCTCTTGATTCTTTGTCCCAGCCTGCTCCTGAAACTGCCCTACCTTCTCAGCAAGGTCCTTGGAGCTGGATTGCAAGGTTTCGGACACCTGAGGGGACAGGTAAGGCAGGCACGACTGGGAAGGCTTCGGAGCTCCGAACGTGCTCACGCCGACGGGCCTGGAGAAGAATCTCTTCAGAGGCTTGGACTCTGTCGCGGAGTTTCTCGAGCTTGCTGTCCTTCAGACATGCAAGCACATGCAGAGGCAAGCGGACGGGCCCACCATTCGGGTCGGATGGCCTTTTCTTCCGATTGGCTTGATAACTTCTCGAGGGTGTTGCCTTTGTAGAGGCGGCACCCCGACTTCACATGCCAGAACGGACTCTCCAGGTCTAAGTAGCTGATCAGCACGAGGCTCTCGTCCAGGCGCTGTGAGAGCATCCGGGAGCTCTCCGCATGCAGCATCTCACTGCTGCGAATCCTCAGCGAGGGTCGGCGAGACAAGCCCCACATGCAAAGCGCGGCAATTTCTTCCAAGCAGCTCATCAAGCAGTGGAGTGAAGTCAAACTTGCCTGCAGTCACAGGATTCTTGGGCCGCGAAATTGCATGTCCCAGTCCGGTTTGAGAGTGAAGTTGATTTCGCCCAGCAACTGAAGTCGACATAGCCGCATTTGGCCCAGTCCACCACCTTGTCCATCTTTTCATCCAGTCTTGCCAGCTTGTCGTTGGCCGTCCGCTCACGTTGCTCCTAGGATCACGGCTCACAAAGTCATAGTGAGAAAATGGATGCAAGCCGCTCAAATGTATGATGTTGCTCCACGCAAGCCAACTGAATGCCTGATGACGAGGGGTTGTCTACGTTGCTACATTCTACATGCTGCCCACTGCTCCATCACATTACATGCAAAGTGGAAAGCATGCATTCCCAGCTTCCAACATCCCAGCCACGTCCTCAGGATGGGGCTTGAAAGTAAAAAAAACTCTCATTGCGAAATCCCTTCTGCCAGTCAGACAGAGCATGTTAAAAGTGAAGCGGGCTCCTTGCGCAAGGCGGTCGCACTCTGGTCGACTTCTAGCCGCACCTCGCCAAGGATCTCGTGGCTCATGCTGCTCCTCAAGGGCAAGGTTCAGGATCGGCTCAGACCAGACTGGTGGCCTGCCCTGCCCTAGTGCAGCATGGCCACATCTTGTTGGCGAAGCCCTTCTTGCAGATCCTGCATGGTCCCCAACATGGACGCAAGCCAAGGGCACAGCCCGCATGCCAGCGCAGAAGAACCTATGCAGCCGAGGGTCTCGAGCACATCATGCCAGGCATTGTTGCGACGGCTGGAGGATGCCAGTGGAGACAACTGGGAGTCTTTGGATCCGGCCATTAAGGAGTCCTGCGACTGCCCATGGCATGGGGTCTAGAGCCGGGCGGGGCACTAAGTCACTACAAGGCTTTCACTTTCGCAGTCCTCCATGGCCAGCCGTCTGCACAGAGCCCAAGGCCCAAACAAGAAATCGGAACTTCAGGTGGATCGTGCTCCGAACGACGCTTGCTATGCAGCTTGCTGTATGGCTCCAAGCCAACCCCCTTCGAACGTGATTTGATCGAGGTACTGCGACATGTCCACGTTGCTTTCTGGCTTGAGCTGTCTATAATCTCGACAGGCACGACTAAACTTGACTAAACAGCACACGAAATAAGCCGGTCCAAGCAACTAGACGGGTGATGTTGAATGCTGGCTGGAAGCCTAGCAACCCATTCCTACGCGCGAGCTCATCGCGGCATGCAGCCGACTTTCCCACCCTGCGAATCTGAAAACTGGTTCTGGCCTGAGTCGTGTGTGGACACTTTCTGGAAGTCACACACAAAGGACCTCGACATGACCGAACCAGAGAATGGGGTCCAGTGGGCCAGTACCCTCTTCGAGGTGCTGTCCCATGGAAAAACGAAGCTCCGAAGCCTCGTACGATCGGTCCATGCAGCCACGCAGCCGTAACTACAGGGAAGCACCCTGTACATTAACATAGAGCTGGGAAGAACGTCCCCTTGTTGATCGGAATTGAAGCCGCAGACTTGCGAGATCTGCCGTGCAGATTTCTAGATTTCAGTCTGGCACCTATGTCCGCGGGGGAGTTGAACTTCTGAATCTGTCGCACCGATGCATCAGCCACGACCGGAAGGATCCACTCCATGGGCACTCCGGAGATGCTCTGGCTGGTCACCATCAACGCTCGCATGCGCTCCCGCTTCCACCGCTTCTTCCGATGGGCAGTGAGCCCCTCAGCCTCGCCTTTGAAGGTGGAAGACATCCGCATCGTCGGTAAAGTGCCCCTTTGAGGCTCCAAGGGCTCCAAGGGCTCCAAGGGCTCTGCTGGCTGCCTGGGAGCCGCATCCGCATCCCCCCCCGGGTTCGGTTTCGGCTCTCTGCTTGTCAGAACGGGGAGCCTCAAAGTCGCTTCCAAGACCATCTCCGCGCTCAAGTCAGCCAGGTCCTCTTCCTGGGCCAGGCCCGGGCCCACAAGTCGCGCTGACTTCTGGCCCTTCGCTGGCTTGGAGCCTTGGGCCTGTAAACTCGTCCGCCTTCCAGGCACTTCAAGTGGACCGGAGAAGTCAAAAGTCTGGGGACCTCCCGGCAACATTGCCGACGCCTCTTTTGCGGCTTGGTCCTCCTTCGCCACATCCCGCACTGGGCTCTTCATCACGTGGCCAGAGGAGCTGAGGGAACGCGCGTCCGAAACGCTTGGCAGCGATGGCTGCAATGCCGGCAAAACCTCCGTCACACTTAGGCTCGGCGGCAGCCGCGGGAGTGGCGCAACTTCGACTTTAGCAGTTTGCTGAGCTTGCACTGGTTCAGGAGACATGCCTGGATCGCCAGCATCCACGCTATCCTCAACAAGTTCTCGCGACACACGACCTTGGCATCTCAGAGCAGGAACTTTTTTCCGTTTCGGAAGGAAGAAGTACCGAATCAAGTTGAGCGCGCCTAGCTGCAAAAAACGAGCAGAACGACTTGGGCCAGCAACGTTTGCGCACGGCATTGTGCCACTGGGTCCACTCGGTCTGAACAGGTGCAGCCTGGCGCCATGAGCTTGTCTGAAGTATGAAACAGTGACAGTACCCCACACGGCGTAACTGATCTTAGTGGTCTGCGGAAATATCACGGAACTTCAGGGAACTGCAGAACGGCAGCAGCCGTGGCTTGGTTGTAGCACAACACGACACCAATACAACGCCAACACAACACAACACAACGCACGCCACAATGCAACTCAACGCAACCCAAAAGCTCAATGCAGTGCCACCCAACACAACGAACCAAACACAACACAACGAAACACCACACAACACAACACCACGGTTTCACACCATGCCGCCAGATCATTTTATACCATCCCATACCATACCAAGCCATGTTGGACCATGATACGGCACGATGTGACATGTCGTATCATAACATAGCTATATAGCTAAACATAGCTAAACATAACATAGCAGAACACAACCATGACATCACGCATGGCAGAACCCAGCGCAACATTACACAAGACTAAAGGGCTTAAAGCCAAGACAGGCCACCTACATTCTGATCGAAATGCTGAAACCCTTACTGCCCCACCTCCACGGCGAGCAGCTGCTCATGTAAAGCGGACAGACAGGAAAGAATTGTGGCGGCCAGTTCATGGGTCCTGACGGTGGGAGGGTCCAGAGATGAAGGCAACATCATGTGCTGTTCTCGTGCAGAGCATCACTGCAATGATCCTCGTCGAGTGTATCTGTTGCTCCTCTAACAATTCATCCTCCTATGAGTAATGCTGTGACTTGCAGGCCGCCACTCCTTGCAAACAACATTACTCATCGTTGCTGCTGTCACTGCTGCTGCTACTACAACAAGGACCACCGCTGCCACCACCACCACTACCACTTGCACCTCCACACTACGACCACTACGACTACCAGCACCATGCTGGGTTCTAATGCGCCGTCCTCGCCGTGGCAGTAGGTAGCAACAGCTTTTTGCAACCAGGCTGGTCCGAAAATGAGCGTCAGCGTCGGCGGCTCGGACATCATCAACGTGAAGAAAACTCATCACCACCATCACATCACCATCACCATCACCGTCGTCATCATCATCGTTATGATCATGATGATAATCATCATCATCATCATCACCATCATCGTCCTCATCATCATCTCCATGCCTCCATCCATCCGTCCACGTCCGTACCCTCATCGTGATCGTCATCCGCATCGCCACCGTCAGCAACAGATTTCGTGAGCAGCAGCACAGGTAACAGTTCCACTATAGTCGTGCACAGCCTCTTCGGCAAACGACACTGACCGGCGGCCATCACGACCAGCATGAAGCTCGCAGTAGCAAGCAATGCCGTGTACCCCCAAAGTCATGCCTGCCACGTCCCTTTGCCCCGCCTGATGTTGGATTGCAAGGTGCTCTGGCAGCGGAGCAGGTTGCCGAGGCCTTGTGACCGCTCAGCAAACTCCTCCTTGGTGCAGAACAATGCCTCCCGGGAGAGCTCAGCTGCACCTCCCTCAACTCTCACAGCTTGTGCCAGGCCTTGCACATGGCCTCCCCAGCAAGAGGGAAGTTGTTGAGAAGGAGCTCGTCCGCCGAGTCGAAGATGGCCTGTGCAGACGGCAGTCATTTTTGTCGGAACCTCTCTCTCGTGGCACGTGTGGGCCTTGAAGCGTCGAGACTCCGGAGCCTCGGTGTTCCATGGAAGGAAGGGTGTTCGAGTCTCCAGTTCCGGCGTGGCCGCGCCGCGCCTTGAGCTTGGGGCGCCCCAGTCGTTTAAGAAAGCCCTCTTCCATCTGCTCCCGCATGTCGTGGCGGCACTTTTCGGTTGCGACGGCGCCTCAGAAGCCGACGTCCAGTCTTACCCAGACAGGGAGAAATAAGGAAGAAGGAAGCGTGTCCATTTCTGGAAAGGAACCATTGCCTGCACTGCTGCACTGGCTGCTGACCAGCTGCGCAGGACCAGGCCGGCAATCCTCTTTCGCTCCTCGGAGCAACTCGAGTTCTCAAAGCCCCTCAAATTCCTGCCTTAAGATTTCTCTGCTGCGACTCTGCTCCCAACGGTCTCCGTCCTGGAAGACTTCAGAGACACCGGCAAAAATCGACTGCGCTGCCAAGTGGAAGAGCTCGCAACGCTTCGCCACATCCTTCTTCCGCAAACTATAATGCGTACCTGACACGGAAGGATAGAATCCACCACTGCTGCTGCTGATGGCCCTTGCAACAGGGATGAGATGTTGCAGCGACGCATCAAAATCCAGGCACGCGCTCGTCTGTAAGTCGAGCGAACAAGTGCAATGTCCCTGGCAGATTTCGTGGGCCTCGGACGACCGCATTCGGAAGGCACGGCATCCTCCTAAAATTCCAGTTTCGTAGTCCGAGCGGCTCGGAGCTTGCCATTTGCGTTTCAAGCGCAGCGCCCGTTCCCGAGGCAACCTGTGCCCCCAGGGCCGGAGAGCTGGAAGTTGCCGGCCGTCAATAGACTCATCATGTTAAGGGTGAAACAACTACTTGAGCCCATGTTATGGACAAGGCCACAGCCGCCAACCGAATCAAAAGCTGCCGCCCGCCGTTTTTCGGCCAACCCGTCTCCCCTCCTGGGACTGGCCTTGGGCTTCGTCCGTTGACGGTTCTTGCGCCATGCAAGCGCACAGCAGGGAGAACAGCTAGTTCATTCGGGTTTTCTGGTCTTGGTTTAGGCCCGCCCTCCTACTAGTCGTCCCTAGCGCCCGTGATCTCCCTGTGCACTTGGCAGGAGCATATCGCGGATTCTGGCCACGGCCGGACAGCTGAAGCTTCAGGGTTCTAAAGTGATCGTTTACCGCAACTCCACCACGACGGCTGGCGCGAATTGCAACACTTGCCTACTGCCGTGCCTACTTCCACCGAAGACATTGCGGCACACAATTAATCATACGAGTCATACCCACACTGGAATCTGCAGTCTGCGCAATTTGGAAAGCCTTGCCCGTTGCTGTTTTACGCAACCCAAGCTCCGTTGTCACAACACCTAGCACGCAATGCTTCCTGATTGCCAGTCTCTTCCTCCGGCTGTTGCTCTGCCTGAAGCTTGTTCCGGTCGCCATGGGCCACTGCGGCATCCCTGTGGCCCGTCAAAGTGAGACCTGGAGCCACCCCCGAGTTCTACACAGCCTCGCGCCCGAAGCATCCCAGGGCCCTGCTGCTTTGGACCAAGGAGCAATCGAAACAAGTTGAAGCGATTCACAACGAAAGAGGCATCCGCAATTAGGAAATCCCAAATATGGCAGGCATGGTGCCAGGCATGATGACGGCATATTATGAGCCAAGATGACCTCCCTGTGTCCTCCCGGACACAGCGGCAGCATCTGTGCATGTTCTGCATGGAAGGGTTTTGGCGCAGGGCCGGGGCTGCTTGCCGCGGGCCAGAGCCGGCCTGTTGGCAGGCATCGGAAAACGCGAACATCGAAGCTCTTTGCTTCTTGGAAGATCGCGGCATGACAAGGTTACTTCAGGTTTCGAGGAGAGATGGCAACGGTCTTGGCGTTGGACTTCGCAGCTTGGACTGGCTTGGGACATTGCCACTGCCGCTTGTTTGAATTGCAAGCCTGCTAAGGGCAGGCCATGCGCCCCTTGTCAGGGCTTGTACCCTTGGCCACCAAAGCGGCCTCGTCTCATGCTCCCGTCTTGCAAGGGCAGGAGGCAAAAGAGTCGCAGCTGCATGGAGAGCCATTAGCCACTCCGTGCTTCACAGATCATCCTCAGCGACTTCCTGCCACAGCTTGTCTCCCTCTGGCTGAACCACGTGCTACGCCTTGAATCTGTGGAGCACGCTGTCGCATAACAGTGTCAGAATGTATAGTGTCAAAACATGTCATAAGACGGCCAGTAGTGTCGAGTGCAGCAGCAGACAAAGCGTGCAGAAAAGCTAGATGCGTCCTGATCCAGGCGCCCTCGACGCCTCCCACAAAGTGGCCGTTGCCCTCGGGATCTTTGCCTTCACTGGAAAAATGCTCCCGAAAAGGAAAAAATCCAAAAAATACCAAAAGAATGGACTCGAGCCTCGGAAGGAGCGCACCTCGGCCAGGCGGCCCAAGGTTTTGGGGGGGGGCCCGGTCTCTTTGTCCTGTGATTTTGACCTGGATTATACCGTTTTCTGGGTGGTTGCAGAGGTTTTTCTTGCACAGATCCGGAAGGCTATATCCCTGCGCACCATTCTCGGCCAATCCAACTTTCAGAGCCGAGGGCATTGTAGTTGGAGCTTCGCAAGCGTCGCTCCATCTTCGACACCTGCAAAGGTTCCCCGGTTACCCCTGCACTCTTTCGCTAGTTGTAGCTAGCTTTCTTAATGTCATGTGGTGGTGGCGGTGGTGGTGGCGGTGGTGGTGGTGGTTGTGGTGGTGGTGGTGGTGGTGGTGGTGGTGGTGGTGGTGGCGCCGGCGGCGGTGACTACAAGATCACATCAACCCAACCCTACATTGGCAGCGTGCCCGGCTGAAGAGAGCGCACACTACCACCCAACTGAGATCCACACCCAGTGCCACTGCATGATGTCGTCCTCCCGCCGGGCAATCCATGCGTCAGCATTACCCGCAGATCCCGCCAGGCCCCCAACTCCTAACTGCGGTGGCAGCTTAAAGCTGAAAGATTACCGTCCTCAACTTCGTGGTAGAAATGTAGCGGCCTCGGCACGATTGGCTACTCTTCCTAACTTGAAGGACACATGGCTGGGATCTCCGGCGTTTGGATCTGCGGGCCGTTCTCTTCAATGGGAGTGCAGGAGAGCAGGTGGCCCACCAAGCCAATGAAGCCACCCAACCTCCAAAGACGAAGGAGACCCATCGGGAAAAGGCACCCGGATGGAAGTTGCAGTGAAACATTGGAACCACTGCCTTTTCGGATAAGTCAGCACTGCCTCAGTTCGTTCGGAGAGGTTGAGGCAGGCAACGACACGGTCACTGGGAGACGGGCGTCCAGTGCTGTTACGCACCCCTGCGACTTGCCTCCCAGGATAATCCTGGGACGGGAATGCAGTGTTTCCAGAGTCTGAAGGTCCGGGGGTTCGCTCAGCTCTAGCTGACTGCATGCCTCCTTTTCCCACAGCCAAGATGGGTCTGTGTCGCTCATTCGCTACTTCGCGACACACGAGCAATTGTGTTGACTGGGCTGGCATTCCCAGGAACCATGGCGAGGACATCTTTGTAAGTACATCGCGCTTTCGACACAGAGCCCTGTACAGATGCTTGCGAGGTGCAAGTTCATGACCGGGCTAAACGCAAGACGAGAAACACGCGTAGCCTGTCAGAATCTCAGAATTACTATGCCAAGCTGAGACTCATAATTCAGACCCCCAGCTCCAGTCCAGCATAGACCATGCTCACAACTTGTAGCTTGTAGCCATTCCTTCTGTCGAATTTGGATCATGCCTGGACCTAGCTGTACTCGGGCAAAGCTCTTGAAGGCTTCCCAGAGTTGGAGGCTAAAGGCCTTCAAACGAAAACAGCGGGCTTGTGGCTGTACATCGCCCGAGGGAGGACGTTACTGTAAGGAGTCTCCTTTGTAGAAGGGGCTTGCGTCTCGCGCCTGAAGCTCACAAACACCCTTCCACTCGACTCCACACTTAAATCCGGGGGGCCTTGTCGGCCGACGCTGCGGTGCCCTGGTCAACTCCCTTCTGGGTCAGCCAAGCGCAGAACACGACTTTGCTTCCCCATACTGTAGTCGCCCCTGACCCAGACGCCATAGACCCACTGCACATCTGCGCTTAGCTAAGAGCAGCTCAGATCCCTGCTCCGTTCTTCGTCGCCCCACGCGGGCCTGGCGCAAACAGTGTGATCTCGTGGCAAAAGAAGAAGAGCGCTCTTAGATCTCCCCACATCCACGCCAAGCTGCAGCACCCTTCGAGACCACCTTCTCCGCCTGCTTGCAGCTGCAGAAAGGCAGCCGCGCTTTTCGGGTCACTCATGCAGAGTGCATGTGGCCAAGCCACTTCCGCCTCCATGGGGTATCAAACGGGAGGCAACACGAGGCACGAGGAGTTTGAAGCTAGATCCGGAGATGGCTTTGATCTGGAAATGGCTTCCGGAGGTCAAAAAGTTCAGCAAAGATGTAGACTTCTTATTCCTATTTTGACCAAGGCACCGATCACTACGTCCGCCCAGCTCTTCTGCCTGAGTGGGAGAGAGGCGACACATCGTCAATAAGGCACTGAGCCTCGTGCCTCGCGAGCGATGATCTCATGAAGTGATTCTTGCGTTCGGTGCAAGGAGTCGATGTCAATGGCATCCTCTGGAACTTGAAAAGCAAAGAAGCTTTGGAAGTCATCGCTCTGCAGCCTCTTTGCGACCACCGCGGTTGCTGATGTAATCGTACCTCTCAGGTCCCGGCAGCGGGACAGCTTTGACTTGAATGTGGAGCCCAGGTGCCAGGAGTTGAACTTCTCCAATCTCCAACGGCCGCCCTTCACATCCCGGCTCTTCACCTGCGCAAAGAACGGATTCGCGACAAGCGCGGGAGCAGCCCCTGAGCCGACCTTGGACCACCAGGTGTCGAAGCAGCTGATCTCGGCACGACTTCACTACAGCTCAGCTTGCTCTGGTTTGTTCCCGTCTGTCTCGTTGTCTCCAGTTCTCACCGCACCTCACGGAGCGGTGCCGTTGGAATGAGCACCTGCACAAGCAAGGGGGTGGACCGGAAGGGAGCAGGCCCTTTGCTTGCCTTGAGAGCCGCGCTCCCATCATGGAAGTAGTGAGGCCTCTTCCGGCGCAGCAAAGCCAACATCTCCCGAGATGGGCACCCTGAGCGCCCTGCCTGTCGGCATATCCTGAGAGACACACAACCCCAGGCCCTGCCATCCTGCAACTCTCAGAGTGAAAACCCCGACTTGGAGCTGCACTCATCGCGACTTCCCCCATCCCGTGTAGGAAGATTAAGGTGTATCGGGGCCTCGGTTGAATATAGGACTGGAAAAGCGCAATGCCAGGACAACACAATGTGGATCAGTCGAGCAGCAAAGTGGGAGAAGCCACTGGCTTCATGACAACAGCGGGCAGCAAGTCGGCCTGCTTCCGAACCACCTGAGTGAACTCCCGAGACCAAGCAATCCGAGCGAGGTCGCCGCGGGGCTTGGGGGCTGCGACTACGCCCCCGCCTTGATGCGCTTCCGTTTGTCGACCGCCTGCCCACAGGAAGCCAGCGGCTGGTTTTCTGTGAGCGGCGCATGGGTGCGCATGGTCTGCACACGACATGGTAAAGGCGAGTGAGCGTCACTGCCGAAGCAAACCAAGCAAACCAAACGCTTCCCCTCCCCCGCCAGTTGTGCTATGTCATTCCATCGTCTCCTTCCGGGCAGCATTGCTGCACGCGCCTGTTGTCGACGGCTGTGTGCCGTGACGTGAAAGCGTCCGCTGGAAAGCTGCCTCGCTTCTCCTCGCCTTCGGGAAGAGTCGGCAAAGCAGGAGCTGAGATTAAAGCCCAGGAAACTTTCTCACCCTTTCGACCTCTGCTTCTCAACAGCTGTAGACAGCTTCTTGGTCAGGAGCTGCCGATCAATGATGACCTCCAAACGGGTAAGAAATTATGTCTGCCTCTTGCAAAGCAGTCATAACCATGGACTTGCAGATTTCGGCCTTGTCTTCGGAATCGTACTTCTGCACGTGAACACGGAATGCGGCCCAATAGGAATGCCAAGACCTGCCCGCTTGCCAGCATGTTTTCAACTGGCAAGGACTCGAGAACTCAAGCGCCCTGCACAACGCTGGCAACTCGCAGCGGCATCCTGGGCCGACAAAACCCACACTCCTGCAAAGTCACGTCAGGACGGATGACTTGGGATGGCCTGCCAAGCCGTGTCTCGCGATAGCCTTTGAGGTTGCTCACCTCCCAGCCACCGTGCTGGGATGGATCCTGTCAGAGAACCCCAAAGCGGCCGTTCCATCCATTTGTTGGTAACTTTTCTCTTTTTTGCGTAGCGCCTCCGGCTCTCTCTGGTCAGAAGTTGGTGAAGATCCCAGAAAAGAAAGACCCGGCCATGTCCCTCACCACCTCTGCAGTTGAGGGAGGAGGGAACTGCGGCGGAGCGGTGCGCCTCTCAAACAGGCAAACGGCCCAAGCCTTGCGAATCACTGAGCTGAAGCCCTCTTGAAGGGGTAAGATTTGCAGCTTTTCTGCCAGGTCCAGGACGTTTTCCGCCTCGAGCAAGTCCTCGCGATGCTCCAGCAACAAGGCCACACAAGCGTAGCCTGGAAGCTCGAAGCGGTTCGGGTCTGCTAGGAAGGCGTCCCACCACATCACGACGTCACCCAAGGACTCCGGCGAAGCTTCAGCGAACAGCAGCATGAACCATCTCAGAACGACAACGCCGGGCTCAAACTCTAAGGCCGCAAAATGGCCCGAAAGCTCAGCATCATACCTGCTCAGAACACTGCTACGAGTTCCGACCAAGCCATGTACAAACGCCGACGTACGCTCAACATTTGTCATTCGAGTCTTCAACTCGGCAACAAGCGCAGCAAAACACCAATATGCATCCGCATCTGAATAATCGCGATCTTGGCTCAACACATGGACAATAATGGCGGCCATGTCGCTCATTCCTCTGACATAATCTAAACCCTCGACAACGAGAAACAGGAAGACAATTGAAACCAGAGATTCAGCCTTCACACCAACCTGACATCTGCGAAGCGTAAGGTCGACTTCGTCCTTCACCGTGTCCAACATCTCGCTTTGACGCGGGTCCTCCGATTTGAGTGTTCCTGTCGGGTCCAGGAACTCGGCCAATCGCTCATCAAATTCATTGCGCTTGCGTTGGAGAATTGCCGCCCAGTGGGTGCGTCCGCCGGGAGGCAAATATCCCAGAAGCGCCTTCCAGCACTGTGCCCGCAACTCGGGCTGAATGCCACGAGAGCACAGAGCACGAGTCGCACTTAGATGCCCTTCAGTGATGGCGGTTTCCAGTTCCCGGCCACGCAAGCGTAGCTTCTGCAACAAGCTCTCCACGTCATCCTGCTCGATGCTCGACGCATATATAGTTCTTGCAAGTAAGTCCACCGCCTTCCCGGGAGGCACGGCATATTTGACAGCCAGCTGCGCCCACAAGTCGGCGATGCCCCCACTGCGGAACCGGCGCACCACCGCATTGATGCTTGACAGATTTGAAGGGTTTCTAGCTCTATAAAAACCGATCAAGACCGCTCTCAGTGAAAGGTCCTCTGCGGAAAAATCCAGATCTGCAGGAGGCACACTGAGGGCAACACTCTCGAAGACGGAGGGTTGGCCTATCTCGTCCTCATCGATGGCTGAAGCGAGTCCAGCTTCAGCTTCGCTGGCACCAGGTTGCTTGGGAGCCGTCGGACCTTCGGGCAGCCCGTCATCCAAGAGGCTTGCAAAGAAGACATCATCGTCTTCAAAGCTGCTACTCTGGGCCATGCCCAGGATTCACCTGAAAATGCTCTCAACTACAGTATTGGCATGTAACCGGCATGTAGCAATCACTGGCTGTGCACATGAAGCAACAGGTCAGATCAGTGTTGACAATGTTCGAGGATTTGGATCTGTTGCTTTGAGCCGAGCACGGCCAGGCCACTTCACGGCATATCGACATGCGCGGCGTCTTGACTCGGCTGCAGGCCTGGAAGCGGAATCCCATCCGCAGGCGCAGCGGTGCACTCCGACTCAGCTGGCGAAGCGCACGACCTCAGATCCCAGACTACTTGTAGCAAGCCATGATGATATGCACCTGGCAGCTGCTTAGGAGTTGCTTTGCTGGTGGGAGCTGGTGCAAGGGTTCTGTGGTTTTTGCATTGCAGCCACGCAAGTGAGACACTAAACAATACAAAACCTAGGTCGGCTCAGATGGCAGACAAAAATTCGAATATTCACAACCATGCGACAGCATGTCATAGCACGCGATTGAAATTCGTCTAGGCTACCACCGAGGGGGGGTAGCAGCGACTAGTCATCAGACTTTATGGGTGAGTATGGGAGGGCGCCCTCCAGTGCATCTGGATCAGGCTCTGGAGGAGCCCCCATTCTGCTTGGCTCATTTCCTTACAGGACACAAAGAAAGCGACTTGGACACTGATGTTGCCAGGCTCTTGTCATGAACCCAGAAAAGAACAAGTCCAGCCCACCGCCTCACATGAGTGATTCTGGGCTTCGCCAAGGTGCGGTCCATAGATGCTTGAGTAAGCTTCATCATCTCTTCCTCGTCGTCCAACATCTCAATACCCTTCTTCCGAACCATTTCGGCTCCCTTCAACTCCTCTGCTGTCTCGGCGTGAGTGGCCTTAGTCTTCATCTACTCACTGATTTCATCCAGCCTACTTCGGCTGCAGACGCATGAGGTCCTGGATTGCACGTCAAAAGCGGGACGAAGTGCTCCAACAGCATGCATCTACACGCGCGCCAATATCGGAGAAGTTTAAGTTTATGGGCTCCTTGCCCCCGCCATCTAGAATCTAGCAATCGTGAGACAACCTGACGGATTCGCGCGACACTGCAAACTTTTCGGCTGCACCCATGCTTAAAGCACAATCTGTTGTCAACTGCCCGCACTTGCACGAGCCCCAGTGTAGGCGATTCACGCTTCTTGAAGTAGAATACACTCTAGCGCTGGGTAAATTTCCAAGTCATGTCATAGACAACAACCAGAAGAAGGCCGGTTCGCAGGAGAAGAAATGCAAGGCACACACACACACACACGTTGAACAAGTCAGGGAGCAAGATTCTCGAAGATTTTCCGCAGCATCGCGGCCTTTTCTTTCCTCTTCTCACATCTATCTTCGTAGAGCACCTGGCACACATTGGCACGCGAAAAAGTCGATGAGATGCCATGAGCCTGATACGACATCCCCTTAAGAGGTCTCAGGTCCAGCGCGCCTCCGACTTGTCAGTGGCGTCTTTGACAGCATTGATCAAGCCTTGCTTGGGGACCTTCCGATTCTGCCGGTCTCAACAGGCAGGGCTGTGGCTTCAACCGCGCCTTCTTCGGATCCGTCGCAAAGAGCCCGCGATTCTTAGAAAGCAAGCGGCCGCAGGACCAGTCGATGTCCTTGCCATCGAGGTCTGCCACTGCTGCCCCTGACTCCATCGCCACAAGCACGCCTGCCGTCGTCTCAAAGCCGGAAAAGCCTAGAACTATGCTTTATTGCTGTAGCTTACAAGCCTGCTGCATGTTCTGTGACTTTGATGCTCGCGGACTTGTCATATAGCCCTTGGGTGATTGTCCAAGCCACATCCTGCAATCGGCGGCATTTCAAGCGATCATATGAGCAGGAATGGGCCAACCAGCGTGATGCAACTTCATGCTTATGCTGATGCTTCCGCGGCTCCTCATCTCCGCGAGCCAGCCAACAGAACTTCAGCGCGTTGTTGACGAAGTGGAACTTTGCGAACTCCGAGCCCAGCAGCTTCGCGATTCGCTCGGAGTCCAGGAAGATGTCCTGGCGCATCCGCGCATGCTGTGCGATGCGCAGCTGCTCTGTTCCAAGCATGTCGTAGAGGCCATCGTTGCCACGCTTGATCTTCTGCGAAACATCCAACTTCAAGGACTTGCCCTTCAGTCCATACCGGCCCAAGTAGATTCCGGTTTTCCTTTCCATGATGACGCACTGCGTCCATGCCCCCTGTCCTTTAACAGCATAGAAGATGCTGCTGCCTGACGGGTGGCTTGTGGTACGGCTCGGATGGTCGAAGCTGAGCATGGGGCAGCCAACGACACTTACCACTGGCTCACCCCCTTTCATCAGGCACAGAGTGCTGCAGAACTGTTTGGCGTCACGAAACTCGGCGGCTGTGTCCACAGGATTGAATACCCAATATCTCTCCGGGGCAGTCTCTGCATCCTCTGGATACGATTGGCAGAGGCCATGCCACTTTGAGGCGCTTGCAGCATCTGCCTCGGGAATCAAGTCGAAGCTCGAGAGGAAAGATGCCACAGTCTCCGCAAACTTCTCATCCTTTGACAAGAGCTCGGGGTTCTGGTCGGATATGACCACGTCCTCGGGGAACTTGTCCTTCAACATCTTCAGGATGTAGCATGTCACAGCAGCTGCTGGCATTGTGGTTTCCTCCCGGACATAGTTCTCTTCCAACTTGTAGCCATACAAACCGACGGTCGATTTGTCCTTGACATCCTCCAGGATGAGCGTCCCTAGGCAGAGCATGTGCAGGACCTCCACCATGGCCTCCATGGCAGCTTCCAACTCTTTGCCAAACTCTCCCTCGAGGAGTTCTGCTGGGACCACTTCTGGGACCGTCTTGTCAGCTCCAATGATCTTCTGCCCGTACATGCTCATTGCCAGTGCTGCCTGCCGGTCAGGCTGGCTCGCTTTCTTGGCCTGCCGCACAGAGCCACCAGGCTCGGCAGCTCTCGCAATGCGCTCCCGCCTTGTCTGCGCTGCGAGGACAGGGGCAACGCCGGCAACGAGCCCGGCAGCTTGACATCTTCCAAAGGAGCGCTCTGCTCGAGGAATCCCCTGTAGTCGAAGTCGAAGGGGCTTGCCCGCAATCGGCACCTTTGCGTGCGGAGCCCCAGTGGCAGCTATGGACACTGCCATGTCTAACACGGCTGCCTAGAGCCGTGCAGGATGTTTTTGTTCAACTCAGCTCGAGCCGTAAGCAGATTCAAGAACGATCTCACAGTGCCTACAGCATGCAGACACATGCAGTACATGCAGTGACAGTGACCACTGGACGGCATTACAACCGGTTCTCTGTGGCCGCGGCTAAGCATCAAATCCGAAGCTCGCTCTGCCCATTGGTTCAAAGCCTGCAGCGTCATTGCTAAGCCTCACGTCGCAGGATTCTGCCCATTCTGGCCTTCCCGGCTGCTGCAGACCTGGACAAGACCCAAAAACCCCATCTTCGGTCCGACCCATCTTTTTGTCTGAGGCTTGAGCCTTAACCACGCCCGAACGGAGGAGAGGGACAGCACCTCCAAGAAGCGAGACGTCACAAACCGACGAGAGTGTGTAACGTTCAGAGGCTGGGAGGCACGCTGTCCGGTCGTCTCCGCTCTCCAGTTCGGAATCCCTGGTCTTGCCTTGACACGCATGCGACTCAGAGGTACTGCTTTATAGACCCAAGTGCGGGAGCCCGGACGCTTCCAGAGCTTCGGCAAGGCTGCCCGCAATGCGGCGATGTGTGGCAGCGCCGATTCCACCAGCACCCTCCCAGCCATGCGCGCTCCGCGTGCTCCGCGCGACACTGCGTGCTGCAGCCGCTGTGGGTCTTCGCTTGGGCCTCCCTGTCAGCCGCAAGGCTCTGGAACCTGCCGGCCGACGGACCGCAGAGCTTTTCCGCTTCACCACCGGTAAGCGTCCTCGGCCAAACACCCCAAACCACCAAGAAGAAGATGGAAGAGCTGTGAGACATTGTGAGACCGAATCCAAAAGGCCGTGGCGGCACTGGAAAGCACGAATGCCCATGGCCTGCGCAGAACATGCCAGAATGCAAGCACTCCAATTTATCTTGCAACCTTCCCGTGCCTGAGCAGTGATTGTGCGAGAACAAGCGGGGAAGAACTTTGGACGGGGGGGTATGATGACCCTGTCTCGAAGAGCTGAGGACAGCTACTGTATCAGTGCAAAGAATTGGGGCCGTGCTTGAAAATCGCCGTCAGTGACCCCAACTCTGCCAGCTTGCCTTCTCGAGCCGAGACATGTACAGGGCCCTGACTAACCACATGCTCAAATGATCCCCGGTTGACCCAAAGGCGCAAGAGGCCATGATGGGGGGCTCTCGCATCAAGGTCTCGTGAAGACAGTACACCGAGTCGCAAGCATGTTTTCCTGAACAGACGGCTGCCGGAAAGCAGATGCGATCAGCAGCCGCCACACGCCTTCCGCATAGAAAGGGCCAAGCTTCTGTGTGCAACATCGTGCAACCAGACGTTGCCCTCGTATACCATTGGCCTTTTGCTATCTCCTTCGAGACCGGGATCTCTTGTCTCGGGAGCGAGACCGCCGCCTGCAAGGAGCAAACTGGCAGGCGGCGCCGGCGCTGGGCAAAGCTGTCAAGGGGCCTGTCGCGGTCCTTGTCCTGACTCACGAGTATGGAGTACACCGAAAAAGTAAGCACAAGCCATCGCAGTCCCGATCTCGATCTTTGTCACGTCGATCTCTGTCCGGGCTCTTCCGGTCTTTGCGATCCCGGTCCTCGCGCCCTGACATGCCAAGTCATGCAAAGTCGTGGTGTCACGCCGCTCTCGCCTCCCCGTGAAGTTTCCCCACGCGCAGCACGCTGAGCCTTGGTGACATCCCCGTCTGCCCTGTTTGCTTTGGTGGGTGTATATTGAGGACTCGGCGTTGTCCAGATAACTTCCGGGCGCAGGCTGCCCAGGCTTGCCCAGGGACTGGCCTTCACCAAGCTTCCTGAAAAAGCATAAGTCATGCATCCCTAGCCAGCACGGCACGAAGTTACACAGATTCGCGAATTTGATTGCTTGCTTTGCTTTTGTGGAAGAATTGCGATGTATGACCGAGCGTGGCAGGTTCGAATTCGGCCACGAGGTGACACCAGAACCCTGCGGTAGGATTTGGTACGGCCAAGACTTGGTTAGACAAGACCAACACCCGGGAGTACGACTTGCCACGGTTCAGAAAAGCTTGCCTGGTCACCTGGTCTTGGTGGCTGTTTCCGACTCGATTGGCCGTAGTTGGGCCGTAACTGGTCTGACCGTACTAAGGGGTCGCGACAAATCGCACTGCGTTGCTCCTGCTGACCTTGTCTTGGCCGTGACGACCCAAGACCCTGCAGTACGATTTGTTACGTCCCAGATTGGTCGGAAAGCAGCAGTGCGATTGAATACGGCCAGCCTGATCATCCTCGTGACATCTCGTGACCGTTTTCCTTTTCGGGCTGGGATCGTCGTCCCGAAGGAGAAAACTGCCGCGAATGTTGGGCCGTGATCGGCAGCACAACCCACCCAAACCAAACGAGGGGACGGGGCGAGCGATGTCACGATGCGCACGAAAGCCAGTGCTTCCACGCACCAAAGCCGCCTTGCCAGTACCACAATGTGCTGCACTGCAGCCCTGGATCATGTATGACTAGGACGAAGGCCTTAGAGTCTTAGAGGTGTCATGCCATGGTCCTCCGATGGAAAGCCGCAGCTTCCCCAGCAAGAACATGCACGGAGGCAGTGCCTCTACCATTAGCCGCCCGACAGTCCTGAGAAGCATCATTGCCATGGCCGAGGGCCTATTCGACACCTCAAGGTGCCTCTCGATTTCGATCAAGTACCTGCTAAAAGAAGCCGGTATCATCACGGCACTCTGAAGGCCTACGGTCGCGTTGGGGCACTCTTTCCGCCGTGCCTCAGATACGTTCCAAAATTGCGACACCGGCAGGGAGCCCTGAAGTTAAATGCAAGAAAAACCTCGAAAGACTCCACTCCTTCTTTCCCTGTGGACGGCTTTTCGGATCGAGGCACGTCGTCGTAGCGCGCCAGGATGTCCGCAAGCTTCGACTCGGCCTTTGCTTGCTCAGTGGTCATCGTGTGATGATGACATGACGACCATGGGGAGGTGTGAAGATGAAGATGGAAAAAATGTAGAACATGAAAAACGTACCGACGAAAACGCGAACCATGGCTGTGAAGGTGGTGCCAAAGATGCGACGATGCTGGATCACAAGGGGGGCCCCTCCACACAAAAAACACCTGAATCTCGGCCTGCTCGTCCAGCTTGTACTTCTTGGACACCGCGGCGAGGTCCTGAGCCACATACAAGCGAACTCGAAGCGGAAACGTGCCACGCCGGCAACATCATCCCCACGGCGTCCTTGTCAGCCTTCACCTCAGCAGTTGCAAAGCGGACACAAGTCGGACACTGCCTTCTGACCGCCTGTCAGCTCAGGCGCGCCTTACCAACAAAGGTGCCTTCCTCCATCTCGCGCATTTTTACAACCAGCAACCCAGCCGGACTGTTGGCGCCTTTCAACGGGAAGTCGATTGAAATGTTTGCTATGGAGGCGGTTCAATCTGCAGAGGCGGGAACGCTCCAGCACATCATACAGGCGCTCCATGTCTTCGACGAAGGTCTCTTGCCGATTCCTGGTGGCAGAACACAAAGGCACAGCGCTTTGCAGGAAATGAGCGCAAGCAGGACACATGAAAAACTTCAGGCGCTTGCTTCATGATGTCACTCAGGCGCCGGGCGTGCCGCTCCTCTAAGCTGGTCTGGCGTTCGGAGGACATTCGTACCAACGCTTTGGATGTCCTCTATATGGAAATAATCGCACAGCTCCTGGACGTCTGGATCCTTGCTTCGGCCAATTGCAGCCAGGGCGAGAGAACAGTAAATTCCTACAGCTGCGTACGAGACTCCGTGGGTTCCAAATGCTTGCACAACAGCGAATGAAGTCTGCTGTTGGCAAACTCGCAGACATAAACTTCAGGTCCCGGCGATTAAGTTGCTGTCAACTTCTTCTGCTGCTGTGGGGCCAGCCTGCTGGGTGCAAAACTGACCCGAAAGCATCGTGGACTCCGTGGACCTTCTGGCAACTGCTCGCTTGCCTGTTGAATCGCAGCCGATGGCTGCGCTGGGTTTGCCAACGTGGCCAATATCAGCGGGTTGGCAGTGAGCCTCACACACAATAGGAAATTCTCGTCGGGCTATCACGCTTGGCTGCTCAAGCCACTGGGGTGGCAGCAGGGGATTAGCGGCAAGCAGTGGATTTCCTGCAAGCAAACCTGTCAGGTGGGAAGCCACCGCGCCAACTACAAATCGCATGTGCTGCTCCGAACAATTTCTTCCACAAGACTGCAGCTGGTCAACTTTCGCAGCACATGAAAATCTTGGCGGCACGACACTGGAACATCTTGGTTAGCGACTGCACGCTTGCACATTGACAAATTGACATCAGGTCATTCATGCCTACTTGAACCACGCCATGTGACAGCCACCTGCCAAACCGCCAGCATTGGGCGGCGGCATCGTCCCAGGTGCCATGAAGGCGGCCTGAATATGGAACAAATGCAGATGCTGCGCACAAGAACCCAACTCCTGAATACTTCGTCCTGACCTGTTGCCCACCGGGTGGCGGCGGTGCTGGAGGAGGCGGCGCTTCCTCCAGTCAGAAACGATCGGGCAAGAACTAGCCGAACCAAATTCCCGGCAAGACTTGCTTAGACGTGTTTCTTCGGGCCTGCTGCTTACATGCAAGCACAGATGGCAAGAGAGAGCGCAGAAGAAAGAAAGTGAGACACAGATCCGAATGCTGAGTTCGCTCTCCACAAACTTGCGTGAGGCGCCTCGCCATGTTTCTTCGTCCGACCCATGATTGTCGCCGCTAGCCGGCGGGGAAGGACTGTTGAGCCGCTGCACAATTGCCGTAAATGACCACAACATTGCTTCACGAACATGTTCTACGAAAGATTTCTCTTCTCTTGCTAGTCCTCGCACAGCCCTCTCGTTTGTCGCCGCCAGCCCGGGCGCAAGCTTGAGGGGCGTGTACCGGGCACCACAGTCTGAAGGTCAGAGCGAGCACTTGGAGCTTGCTCTACCGGCTCAATAGCTTCAAGTAGGCGACGACCACCTGTTTCGATGCCGAACTGCCAAACCCATGCGTTCTTGCCGTCATGACGGAACGTGGAGGCCACACGGCTTGGCGGGCATTTCCGAGCGCCTGCAAATGTCCAGCCGCACTCCGCATTGCGGGACAGCTCGGAGGCGGACGAGATGGCCAACGCCATGCGCAGCGCTCCCGAATTCCATCGGCATTCCAACCTCTGCAAAGCGGTCGCGCTTCACCACGCGTTGGTTCGCCGTTCTTGCTTCGAGCGCTCGGTGCAGGCTTCAAAGCCCGCCCTTTACCGTCACAGCCGTCACAGGCACTGCCAACGTCGATACGATTGTTGTGGTTCTAAAACACTGGCAACGCAACGTCGCCTTTGAGACCGCCACCTGTGAAAATGCTTGGCGGGGACTCACCACTGGTGACAACCACCAAGAGCTCTCATACGCCCAAAAAATTGAGCAGTTTCGCTTCTATGAGGGATATAGCACTATCCAACAGAGCGTAACATGTGCTCATTCAGCTACAAAAGCTTTTTCAGGCAATGAAGACATGAAGGCTAGGAACTTCTTTGCGGAAGCATGCAAAACGCCCTTTGCTGGTCATCTTCGTCGTTCTGCCGAGCGGCCGGAAAACGTGCTACATTGCTAGACTTCCAAATCCAATGTTCCCAACCAAGCGTTTGCTGCGAACCATAACAAGAACATGTGTCATCGACCTGGTCCTCACGCATCTCAAATTTACACCAACGACATGTTTTGTCAGCGGTCTAAAACAAGAAGCTCAACCAGTTGGCTCTGCTTTTTTGCTTTACCACTGCCGCTCAGGCTTGCCAACCTACGGATTCCAAGTCCGGGCTCTTTTGCACATGCCTCAATCCGGCTTGTGGCGCAACCACTCGCCCTTTCCATTCTTTCGGGACAGTCGATGGATATTTCTTGCATGTCACTCTTTCGCCAGTCGGTCAATCGGAACATTTGCACTGGCGAAAACTTGGGGGCTTTGATTCGAGGATCGAAAATGCTTTTCTCCATGCCTTGCCGCGCATATCAATTTCAGCTCTGGCTCATTCATTCCCCACGTGTCATACGTGCAACCATGAGTATTAGTTACACCCCCTGTGCCACGGCCATCAAGGCACCAATCTAATGAAGATGGTCGAACACGCTGTCATGCAAACCCGACACTTCACACAACCCCATTGTACCAGGTTCTGGCTCCTCACTGTCAATCTGGTTGCATCTGCTTCGGCATACGGAACGATCGGAACGACTGTCTGAGTCAGGTACTCCAATGTCCCCTGTCGCACAATCGGAACAGGGTTTTCTTTTCCTGTTTCCAATCGGGTCGTCCAACCATCTTGCAACGGCAATCGAGCTACACTGACCAATAGAAACGGAAACCCCAGTGCACACATAGAACTGGACATATTTTTTTTTAGCACACACCTTTTTGCTGTCCACGCGA